AATAATTATTTTATAATATACAAGAATATGCATATGATAGGGGAATTTTTTATTAAAAAATCATAAAAAGGAATGAATTAGTGACATTGGTATTGCCATTTAAGAAGACAGAATACCTAAAAATTTGTAATACAAACAATGATTTTATAAAATTTGCACGCTATATACAAAAAGATTATGCTTTCTAAAACTGAGCAAGAATGAAAAATATAGTAGTGTAATTAGTGGGATTGGTATTACCTTTAAAGAAGAAAGGAGATAAATAAAAAATCAAAATAATATAGTTTCCTAAGAAATAATGAATTAATGATATTGGTATAACCATTTAAGAAGAGAGAAAATGGAAAACAAATTTAAAAAAAGAATCGCAAAATTTGCACACAATATACACAAACAATGTCTTTATTAAAATATGCAAGAATAAACATATGATAGTGGAATGTTTGCAAAAGAAAAGTTTCCAAAGAAGGAGTTAATTAGAGGCATTGGCATTACCCTTAAAGAAAATAAAAAGTAAAACAAAATTAATATAATAAAGTTTATAAGGAAAAACGAATTAGTAGCATTGGTATTATCATTCAAGAAAAAATAAAAAGGAAAAAACTTGCAAACAACTTTGCTGTGAAATTGCACTTTTTAATATGCAAAGATTAATCATATAATAGTGCAATTTTAGGACATATTGTATAGTATTTGTTTACATGCATTTACACTTACCCAATATCTAAAACTAGACACAAAAGAAAAGAAAAGCAACTAATAATGAAAAATTAAAACAAATGCAAAAACAGATGTAAAAGGAAAAACAGAAAAAACAAAGGGAGAAAGAGGAAGGCTAGATAGTAATGTGAAATAACAACACAAATCACAAAGCAAGATCAACGACACACAAAAACGATAGATACAAATAAAATTCCAGGCGACTTACATGCAGCTAAATGGGTTACTCCCTCCTTCCATCTATATAGGGCCTAATGCGTTTTTCAAGACCGCTTTTGACTATTGATAAAATTAATACTACATGACATGCATAATGTGAAAATTATATCATTGAAAGCTTCTTTCACATACGAATTTGATGATGTGCTTTGTGTAAGTTGCATGTCATATATTATTGCTCTAACATTTGGTCAAAGTTAGTCTCGAAAAACGCATTAGGCCCTATATAAATGGAAGGAGGGAGTAGCTAAATAGGTCCTTGGCCTCTCGCGATTGCAACACCAATGACGTTGGGACGACCTCATCCAAGGGCTATATAACGTGAATCCAGTGGGTCGTTAACCCAGCTGATTGACGCATAGCATCCGTTTTTAGATGTTTTTTTGGGTTTTGTTAGGATTTGTGTCCTCTTTAGGAAGGCGAGATGGCGGCGGCTCCCTGGAGATGGAATAGCGTTCTACCCATCTAGCCTCTTCCCGGTGGTGCATCTAGTATCGTCGGTGGCCGTGTGGACGTGTTTGTCCGGCGTATCTGTATTTAGTTGATTTGATCGGATCTTGTCATTGTTCGTATGTATTCATGTGTCTTTAGGTTGGATCCTTCCGATCTACGCTACTCTTCATCGGCGGTGATTGTTGTTTTGTTGCGCTAGTCCTATGAGGCCTTAGCATGACTACTTTCCGACTGTCTACTATAACAAGTTTTGCGAGGCTCCGGCGAAGGAGAGGCGATGGCGGCGGCGTGCCTTCGTCTCGCTTTAGTGCTTGTAGTAGTCACTAGGTGGACTACGGATCAGGATATATTTTTTATTATTTCTGGTGTTTGTTGCACTGAAATGATTAAAATGAATATATCGAAAAATTTCACGCAAAAAAAACAAACATAGTGTGCTGCCTACGCACGTGAGAACAAAGCAAAAATGGTTGCGTCTACACATGATGCACAGAATGAGTGCATCTACCCGGACATAGTTTGCTGGCTATGCACATGAGCAACAGAGCAAAAATGACAGTTCTTTCTCGGCAACTAGCCGCCGCTGCCTGCCAACCCTACCCGCCATAGCTTCCGGTGCCACTTCCCCTTCTCTCTCCGTCCAACGGTCTCGTCGGTGGCAAGAGGAGTGGGGCATGTTTGTCTTATTTTATTTTTCTTAGGTTTTTGCTTCTCTCGTATCATCGACGATGTGATGTCGACGATGGCATGTTGGAATAATCTCTCTTCGATCTCTCCCTACCTCAGCGATGTACGATCCGACATCAACGATGGGCCTATGAGAGTATGTCCCCAGATCTGTTGGTTCACTACAAATCTTGGCAGCTCATGTGTCTTTCAAGGAGATATTTTGGCTGGCTATTGATGTGACGACTGTTGAGAAATGTAGTAGAAAAGAAATCACCCTACGATCAACCAGAAACACTTTGAAGATGCAATAACGGTGTAAAGAACTAGAGAAGGCTCCAAAAACTTGTGTATCCAAAAGGTCAAAACCTCTAGAATATATAGGTTGGAGGAGGAGGAGAGGGCGCCACACAAGGGGGAAAGGTTTCCCCCCTTTGGCCGACCAAGAGGAGGGAAAAAAAACCTCCAATTCGGCCTCCCCTTTCCTTCCACAAGGGGGAAGGGACGCCACCTCCTAATCAGACCCAAGTGACCCAAATAGCTTTCCATCATTTGGCCTTTTAAGGCCATTGATATTTAAATAGTTATAAAAGCCTCCTAATCATATTTAGAGCCTCTTTAATATTAATTTAACATCACTAGAAACTATTTGCAGTGATATATAATTTATCAGTATTACCTGGTAAACCTCGAAACCCTTTCGGTGACCCCGAAACACTTCCGGTTCTTCTCGAAACTATTTCAAATATTAATGAAAATATTTCATAGATATTTTCTCATTACTCATGTCCCACTAACACTCAGCAGATCATGATTACCTTAAGTCTGTCACCCTGTAGGTTCGGTAAAACAAAGACATGAATAAAATCCCTTTCATTAATGACCAATGGCAGAACCTTGAACGTCCATATCAATCCCTATGGGTACACGAATGACATTTGAATTGAATCTTTGGTTATCATGTGTTATTCCCTTTGCTTCGCGACACTTAACAAAACCCGAGGAAAGATATATCGGTATCCTCTTGAGTCATACACATGCTCACTATAGCATATCCTCGTTACTGGTGTTGTTCTTCTTTCTCATTGACATGTTCCGGCATCCCCGTGACATAGTCACTTGTGTTTGGGCAGACGATGATGGATGTCGTCACACCAAGAGGGCCCTAAGAATATCTCTCCATCGTCGAAGGAACAAATCCCACTCTCGAGCTATCTAGTCCCTTGTTAAACTTTCCGATGAACCAGTAAGGTGTCGTTATGATCACCGTGTTACAGATGATGTTTGAGAAACCTCAAAGTTCATCGTACGGTAAGAAGTGACTACGATACTCTCATGGTCTAAGGAACTAAATCACATTCTAACTCTCTGTGTTATAACAATTGGCTTCTGACGATATTATCTCAAAGTATAACAAGCAAGTTTGGGTCGATTCAATATGATCACTCTTCTAACGTCATATTCTCAAAGTTGTTTTAGGACTATCGTTACACTTAACGACATTCAAAGATCCGGAAAGCATGATCACTAACAACACTTGAGTTGGTCTTAGAGACAAGAATAGAAACCAGGTTTTACCGTTTATCATTCCACACATGCATATGATTTTTGCACTGAATCGCATATTTCAGGATCATAGCAGTTATAGCATAGAATATAAACTCTTAATTATAAACATGAAAAATATAATAATATAATATTGTTGCCTCTAGAACATATTTCCAACCGTGACTTCGACATCTTCTATGTTGTTCTCTGCCTTGGTCCGGTTTCTTCCACCCTCTGTCATTATTTAAGTAAATCAGTTTTACTGGTTTCTCGATATTAATCAGATGAAAGATGCCCTGTCATTATTTAAGTAAAAAGTCAAAAACAGAGCAAAAATTGCTGCATCTGCATCTGCCGTGGTGCACATGCTTACTTTCATTGACATTGTAGTCCTTGGGAGTTCCTTGTTTCCAAAGCAAAAAGCATCCAGACACTGCGTACGGATGCGGATCTCCCGTTTGATTTGACTTTGCAACGGGAAGCAAAAGGAATCTCGATCCAGCGCCGCACGGACAACAAGGCAAGCCACGACTGTTTGCTGTACGAACCAATAATTCTTTCAACATTTCCACGATCCATGGATCGCCATGGACGTCAGGCATGGCGTATGCAAGTTAAGCCTTCTACTAGATGAAGATGAACCACGCAATATATAGGCCGCCATGCAGGATGGTGCCACACAACACACATCATCCAATCAACGCACATCACTTCCTCTTATAACACAGTTAACCATGGATAAGGCATACATTGCCATCCTCTCCTTCGCCTTCCTCTTCCTGATCCACTACATTCTAGGCAAGGTCACCAATGGCAGGCACAGCAAGGGCGCCGTCCAGCTGCCGCCGAGCCCCCGGGCCATCCCGTTCCTCGGCCACCTCCACCTCCTGGAGAAGCCGTTCCACGCCGCTCTGTGCGGCCTCGCCAAGCGCCTCGGCCCCGTCTTCTCGCTGCGCCTCGGCTCGCGCCGCGCGGTGGTGGTGTCCTCGCCGGAGTGCGCCAGGGAGTGCTTCACGGAGCACGACGTGGTCTTCGCCGACCGGCCCCAGTTCCCCTCGCAGCTGCTCGTGTCCTTCGACGGCATCGCGCTCTCCACGTCCAGCTACGGCCCGCACTGGCGCAACCTCCGTCGCGTCGCCGCCGTGCAGCTGCTCTCTGCGCACCGCGTCGCCTGCATGTCGGGCGTGATCGGGGGCGAGGTGCGCGCCATGGCGCGCCGGCTTTTCCGGGCCGCCGCGGCGTCCCCCGACGGCGCCGCGCGGGTCGAGCTGAAGCGGAGGCTCTTCGAGCTCTCCCTCAGCGTGCTCATGGAGACCATCGCCCAGACCAAGGGGACCCGGCCGGAGGCCGACGCCGACACGGACATGTCCCTGGAGGCCCAGGAGTTCAAGAAGGTGGTGGACGAGATCATCCCGCACATCGGCGCCGCCAACCTGTGGGACTACCTGCCGGTGCTGCGGTGGTTCGACGTGTTCGGAGTGAGGAACAAGATCCTTGCCGCGGTGAGCAGGAGGGACGCCTTCATGCTGCGTCTCATCGACAACGAGCGCCGGAGGCTTGACGATGGCGGCGCCGAAGGCGACAAGAAGAGCATGATCGCCGTGCTGCTCACTCTGCAGAAGACGGAGCCAGAGGTGTACACCGATACCATGATCATGGCTCTCTGCGCGGTGAGCTATCCTTTTTCCACCTCCTCTTCTCGTTTGGTCTCTCTCTAATCCAAGTTAATTAGCACTTATACTACTCCTCAATCTTCACTATGTAAGAAAATTAGCTGCATTCTCAAGACTCCAAGATGAAACCAGAATACTATCGTGTTGTGCTTTGTGACAGTACACCGACGATTGTTATGTCTCTTTTCCCCAATCTGCTAAACTAAAACTCGTGGAGGCAATCATACTCATGTCACGATCTAACTGCACTCATTTTCTCGGTGAATTTTCTGTAGAATTACTCACGCCACGATCTCACCAATAACCCTCGTTTTCTCAATGGACTATGTGCAGAATTTATTCGGGGCTGGAACGGAGACCACGTCGACGACGACGGAGTGGGCGATGTCGCTGCTGCTGAACCACCCGGCGGCGCTGAGGAAGGCGCAGGACGAGATCGACGCGGCCGTGGGGACCTCCCGGCTGGTGACCGCCGACGACGTGCCCCGGCTGGCCTACCTGCAGTGCATCGTGAGCGAGACGCTGCGGCTGTACCCGGCGGCACCGATGCTGCTGCCGCACCAGTCCTCGGCTGACTGCAAGGTCGGCGGCTACAACGTGCCGAGCGGCACGATGCTGATGGTGAACGCGTACGCCATCCACCGGGACCCGGCGGCGTGGGAGCGGCCGCTGGAGTTCGTCCCGGAGCGGTTCGAGGACGGGAAGGCCGAGGGGCGGTTCATGATCCCGTTCGGGATGGGCCGGCGGCGGTGCCCCGGAGAGACGCTGGCGCTGCGGACTATCGGCATGGTGCTGGCCACGCTGGTGCAGTGCTTCGACTGGGAGCGCGTGGACGGCGCGGAGGTGGACATGACGGAGGGCGGCGGGCTCACCATCCCCAAGGCCGTGCCGCTCGAGGCCGTGTGCAGGCCGCGCCCGGCCATGCGCGACGTGCTTGAGAGCCTCTGATCTGACAATCCAACTTCGTTCTTGGCATCATAAAATGCATGGACTGGTGGCGTGCTGATGTAGTAGTAAATAAAGTCGTGACCCTTGTGTGAGCAGAGTCAAGCTAGCTATCATCCTATGCAGTAAATTACAGGTAAGTGTCGGGGTTTTGTGAGAACTAGCTAAACTATCTAGGTAGCGCTCGTGGATCGTGATAGTACCAAGCCAGCAATTTGTAATTTAGTTTGTATCAAGAATGTTGTGTATGGGATAACAAATTATTTCATCTCTCTATAAAATTGCAAATCAAAAAATGTAGGGAACGGACATTCAGGATTTGGGCTTACGCCGATCTGGACACGCGAGGGAAGGGCAGCTTCACAGAATCTGAGACTTCAAATAAAAAGAATACCAATCATTTTTTTCTTCTGTATTTGCAAATAAGCGGATGATGGAAGAACAGAAAACGGAAGCTGGAAATATCCACCTGTAAATTTTGTTATTTATACGGTTACCTGAAAACGAAATTTGGACTAGTCAATTCCTTGGGAGAAAGAGCAAGGTTCTGAGGTCGAGGTGGGGGGCGACGCGATGAGGCCGGTCTAGAACCTCGTTGGAGACCAGGACAATGGCGGTGGTGAGAGGAGGAAGATGAATGGGCCAGCCGTTGGGTCGATCTCCAATGGTTCGGCCGAGAAGAAGTGTGTAGGACGTTTAGACTAGCTTGGTCCCATTTTCTTATGATTTCCGTCACACTGCTACTACTCCCTCGGTTTCTAAATATAAACCCTTTTAGAGATTTCAATACAGATTAAATACAAATGTATATGGACATATTTTATAGTGTAGATTCACTCATTTTGACCGTATGTAATTCATATTAAAATCTCTAAAAGTCTATATGTAGAATCAGAGGGAATAGTTTACACAAAATCCCGTAGCTAGAAGGAGTCCAAAGATGCGCGTCACTGAGCAACATTTCTGTTGTTGATTCTTGCTTACCTAAGCACCATTGGGTTGGGTCAGGAATGGTTTCCGTTTGAGGTGCAGCCGTGCAGGAGTCTGGCTGAGACTACGGGTGCACAAAAGTAGATCACCGGACGCACGTCTGTTTCCACGAGGCCACTACTACGGGTGGATTTTCACGGGCGTGTCCGGCACTCTACCGCGCGCGCAAGCAAAACATGCCACGGCCGGTCACGGCAGCACATCGTGCTTGTTATTTAACCCGTGATGCAGGAGAGCACGTGACCATGGGCCATGGCACGAAGATGGAAAAATGAACTGAAGCCTGTAAACATCTTATTCAGTCATGAATGAGGATTGCCCAAACTGCCAGAGCGTCGTTCTTATCTGTCAAGTTCAAAAGCCCAGGCTACAATGGCCCTACCATACTTGTCAGTCGCAAGGGCTTCAAGATAAATGGGTAAAGCAGCGGTAGTGCACATCTACAACACATGCAAATAGAGTTATGACCACGGTTGAACAGTCATGGATGTACCGAACACATGGTAGAGGTGTCTTGGGCTCTTGGCAGGTTAACTCGGTATCTTCAGCTTCTGGGTCTTCTGCATCACGACGGGCAGCTTGCGGGCGACAAGATTCGGGTCTGCGTATGCCGCAGAATCGGAAGGATAGCCCTCCTACATTATGTGGAAAACGGATTAGAAAAGAAAATTAAACACGCTCCAACATTTTGCAGTTAACTTGCTCAAAGGAAAGTACTTGTTCAAGAGAGAGAGAGAGAGAGCACACCGCAGACATGGCAGCAAATGTTGCTTCCCTCCAGCAGAGTTCACGCAGTACAACCGGCTTCGCTTCCTTACTTCCAAAAGAACAATGTAAACGGGTATCCCTCAATCTCATCAGCGCACCATCAACCCTAAGCTGTGGAATGTGGTATATGCAGGGGTAATAAGAAGTTGTTAGGCTCCTGTCCCTTAAGTATAAATGGATCTTAAAATAGCTATTAATGTTCAAACATTTGCACATGAGACTGCCTGCCGGCGTTGTGCCCAAAACCACACCAGCTTGGTGGGTGTCATGCTTGAATTTAAGCTTCCAGAATTCTAATCCCCTTCAAAAGGGTATTTGTTTTAGATTTTCAGAGAGTCAAACCTTAGACCCGGTTTGTTTGAGAAGAGTGAACACACTGAAGAACTGTAACTATTATAACACTAAGCTCTTGCCATTCTTTGTGGGAAAACTGGAAAAGTAGAAATTATACACTAAAAGTAAAACTATTTAGCGATTTGCTTCTTGTGTATGACATTACATGGCCCTTATAGATTCTCTTACTACTAGAGACACATCAGGTGTAAAATGCAGAGCAGTGGATCATACCCAAAAGCGCAAGAGCAGAAACCAACCGGTTGGCATCACCCTCTGCAGACATGCAATCAAAGAATATCAAGTATGTTGAATAAAAGAAGTATGTGAAACTAAAGTTGATGTTACCATAAAAAAAGTCCAGTTAAAATAGGATAACTACACCCGCAAAAAAAAAGGATAACTAGGGAGAACTTACCACTCGCGCTGTAAGGAATGAGATACCGCTATCAGCTAGCTCATCTTCATACAAGATAACCTAAATATGTCATGTCAGGGTAAACCAATGTATAGAGCAATCATGAACAATTTAATCTGTTTCCGTACCTCATCATAGAAAAGAATTGGTTCTTTTGCAGAAAGGGCAATAAGGTCGATCCTGTCATCAGTGTCCTCCCAACACAAATTGCTACATTCATCTAAACTTGTTTGCGTCTGGAAAAGAAATAATGATGGTCAGAAACCTACCAGTACGAAAAGTAAATCAGCCTAAGGAGGCAAATGAAGCCAAAACAGGTGAAATTAGAGTAGAAGTAAGGTCCATACAGCATCTTGGTTCAGAACCACATCACTCCCACAGTATGGTGTCGTGAATGTATAGTCATAGTCAAGTACCACTTGGTCAGCAGGATTACTGCAAGAAAACATATACTGAATGAACCTTCTCTTGGTTCTTTGCCTAATAAAGCCACAACACGTTAAATTTCTAGTTAATTATTCTACAACAGTCCTTCCTACGTAATCACCCTTTTGGCAGAGACTGGAGTGAACATATACTCGTTGATCGAAATAAGAAATGCACAGCTGACCTTTTTATAGTATTTATGGACATTTTTTTATAGTATAATGCACGACTGACCTTCCCACAGTAAAACATAAAGTAAACCATCCTAAATGTATTTCTTTACTGTGTTGGTACTTGTGGTGAAAGCTTGACCCTTTGAGACAAACAGCAATGCTCCCATATAATGGTGACCCCAAAGAAATCCAAAATACTTTTCACTAGAAACACTTCCTAGCATGCGTAAGTAACAGAGTACAGGTATACAAGAACCTTCTGAATTTCCATTTTGCTGCAGCCGGAACTTGAACAGGTGGCAATGCCTCTTGTTTCCATGCCTTGAGAGCATCAAGCGCGTTGAAATGTAATTTGACGCCAGTTTGAGCATTCTGAATAGACACAAAACTCTCTCCAAACACCATCTCAGGTAAATGTGTCGTCTGAAGTTTATCTTCATATCTGAAGAAGAACATTGCATATAGGTTTCAATTAATTCATACACAATCATTTATATGGTTACAGACCAAGGATCTACTAACAGTGGACAGCTCCAATATTAGTTAAGAATGCAAAATGCACTCCTTAGAACAAATAAATCAAAACCAGTAAGAAATGTTATACATATTGCCTGACTGCACGCAGCAATAGAATGATGGGTATGCTAGTACTATTTGTTAATAATCGATTACTGGTTCATTGCTGGAGATAACAGATGAACGATGATTCAGATTTCATGTTTCAGTTTGCAGTGCGGCAGTTAATTGGTGATGACCAACAGAGTAAAACATAACTGATTCAACTTCCATGGCTGAAGAACATAAGCATGACAAACTTACGCAATTTTAAATTCCATGAGTGGCCAGCAACTAAGCAAATCATACCGAATTCCTGTCTATTACACAACAAAAGGAGTACTGACATAGGACAAATAGTAAATCTACGAGCAGACTGAACAATTGATTAAGTACCAGATAATTAATGTTCAAGCTATAGCAAGCCAGGAATCTCAGTCTTCAATTCTCTACTGCGCTAATCAAATGGAAAGGGGGAAGAAAGGTTAGGGTTTAAGGTTGGGGGCGGCTCGTACAGGCTCACAGATGCGGAGTTGAGGATGGGCCCCTTGTGGGACTGGATGACCCACCCCTTCACCCGCACGCCGCCCGGAATCGCCTCCGCGCCGGCCGCTTTCAGCTCGCCCGCCGTCGGGCCGTCCCACGCCGACGCCGCCGCCGCAGCCATCTTCCGCTGCGTCCCGTCCCGGTCTCTTGCTCTGGTTCGGTCGCTAGTCAATACGGATCCACTCTGTGCTCTTAGAACAGAGCACACAGAGCACATTGCCGTTAGCATCACGACCGTCTGATTAAACGTCGATGGCTGTGATTCATTGCTACTTCTGTCAGAACAACGTTCCGTGACGTAGGTAAAAAAACATGTTAATGTGTTTTTTATGCGCGAAACAATATTTTTAGCTAAATATTCCCTCCGTCCATAATAATATAAAGATAAAAATAATACAAAAAATTCAACTGTAGCTTCATGACAAGTCCATTTTATAAAGGTCAGGATAAAGTTTCATTCTAAATGTCAGGTCTAGCCAATTAAGTACTCCCTCCGTCCGGAATTACTTGTCATCAAAATGGATGAAAATGGATGTATCTAGAACTAAAATACATCTAGATACATCCATTTCAATGACAAGTATTTCCAAACGGAGGGAATATGAAACATCTGGACAAAGATAATACCTTTAACAAAAAGGCGTCCATGTGTAGAGTTATTATTGGGTCCATCGGATTCTAGCAATAAAGGCATATCATAGGTTTTCACTTGGGATGTTTGTGTTAAAAACACCCATTATAATATAGACCCATACACTCACACCACCACGAATACACACTCACACAACGCCTACTGAAGACTAGGTTAGAGTTGTGGAGCTTCAAAATCGGTGACCGAGGTTTGATCTTTGATGGGCTTAGGATACTACCACAGTTTTAACCATCCAACTATGATCTTTCAGAAAAAAACATCCAACTATTGGTTCTTTTACCACCGGGTAATGGCGAAGTGATGTTTTAGTCATCATCTTGGCGAGAGATTTTCCAAGAACTCAACTACCATTATTACTCACGAATGCACGATATTCAGTTTTTTATATTTTAGATAGGTTTTGTATAAGATACTAAATGGCTATGTCTAAACCTATCTAAACCCGATCTGAACATGGATTTTTCCAACTAGTTTTTTTTAGTTTTTTCTTTTCATTGCCACTTTGATCATATGTTAGAGATTGAAACTGGAATATTAATTCTTTAGCGAAAGGATTTGTAATATGTCCTTTGAATCAGACAAAACACGCGTTTACGGTATTTGTTGGTTGTCTTAACTTCTTATATGAGATAAGCTAAATTAATTTTGTGTGCATTGATGATGATGTTTAGATTGGTATTGTGCAAATGGATTGATCCATTTTTTTTAAAAAATGAAGGTGACGCATATGCATCATTATGATGGACACAAACATTTTTATGAAGAGCATATCATTACATCAAATAATCCATTTCAACCTAAATTTAGATATGAAGACCACATTGTATCAAATAGTTCATGTCCGGTGGCCGGCTGCATCCCATGAGCCAATATGTGTCCCATGTTCTACTCTATCTCGTCGGAGCTCGTGCCCTGCACGGTGCCGGTCGATGTGAGGTCGACGATGGATCCATTGTGGTCAGAACCCGACACGTCCACCACGACGTAATTGCGACACCATGGGACGGCGGCCACCCGTATCCGCTTCGGAGAGTGCAACTCCGCCTCGTCAACGTCAATCGCGACCTTTGCCTCGCATGGCGGGCCCGTCGCTTCATACCCTCAGCGGACGGACCATGGATGGCCTCCAAGTCGGTGCGCGGGCTGCGCCTCTACCGCAGCGCTCGGACGCCAGACAGACCACACCGCCTCCGGCGAGGCAGCAATGACGCGCCTTCCGCCGGATCCAAGCGCCATTTGGGCAGACGCCATGGATTCTCGCAGGATCGAGTCCGACCACTGTCTGGCGTTCTCCTCGCGAGCGCGGTGGAGCGCAATGCAGACATCCATCTCCTTCTCTGATATGCATTGACTGAGCTACCGGTCTGACAAAGGACTCGGGTCCGCTGCCCGCCATGCCGGAGAAGGTCGGAGATCACTGGAATGGGGCTTGGAGGCTAAGTGAAGTGAACTGGTTAGAGTTTGGTCCGTGGAGCGGATGAGGACGACTATATGTAGGGTCGGGTGGGCCCGCGTGGGCCGGATCCGACATGGCGGACGCGTGGAGCGCGCCCGGGTCTCCCCATATTCGTTCTAAATTTGGGCTGGGTAGGAGGGGTGTCAGTCAGCCCTGGCGTTTGGGGCCAGTATGAGGCGTCCGTCTGGGTAGGCTTTTTTGACATGTTCTCGATGCATTGAGATGCAAATATTTTTGTATTTTGTAAAATAAAAGTATATTTTTGGTCCCTCAAGTTTCAATGAAGCAGATAATTGACATTTTTTGTTTGACATTTCCTCCCTCATCCCTCATATTTTAAAACTAGACATGTTTAATCCAAAACCGGAAACAAAGCTGTATTGGGCCGGCATGTCCTCGGTTTTGACTAAGAACATCTAAGTTACTGCCACCCCATCTCAACTCATCTCATGTCTCTGGGATGCAGAAGCAGCATTTTGTCCAACATCTTGTGTGCGTTCGGTCTCCGCACCGCCGGCGTAACACCGAGCTCAAGTCCGACCACCTTTCGCTGGTGGCCAAGGACGCACCACGCACGCCGCCACTCATCGTCGACGAGCAGCAGGGCATCAATGAGCGAGCCGGATGAGGTGGTAGATGGCGCATACGACCAGGAGAACTGTCCAGCTCCTGAGCGAGGCATCGCGTAGGCGGCGCGTGCCGTGGCGGCGCCCGCGCGTCCAGGCCCGTCGGGAGCAGCAGGCCAGCGTTGCTGGGCATGACGTACGCGTTGTGCTGCATGCTCCCGCGTCGGCTACTGCAACGGCCCAAAGCGTGTGGCGGCTCATGTTGCCGCCGAGGAGGGCCAGCAAGGTGTGCACATCGCTGGCGGCCAGCCGGCCACGGCAGCTCGCCGACGATGAGGCAAGTGTGATTACCCCGGGAAATGCATGCCAACTGTTCGATAAAATGCCTAGAATAAAGTTTCAATACCAGCCCAATACCGCTCCATTTTCTGGTTCTGGACGAAACATGTCTGATTTTGAAACAGATCCGATGTCTACTTCTTGTAAACTTGAGGGACCAACAATATACACTTTTCTCAAAACAAAACAGATATGAAACTCAAACAAATATTCATGTTTGTCTCGATCATGTGCAAGAAGGATATATATATACACAAGCATGCATAGAGTGGTGTTCTTCAGTTCTTGCATATTAACTGAGATTCATTTTTGCGCTTGCAGCATAGAACGAAGACAAGTTGCGACTTCAGTGAATGAAGGTCTTCGCTCAGGCTCAGTTGACCAGCATTGCTCCATGAGTTTCTTCCATTCCGGGTTACATGAAGTGGGCACTGGCGGCCTCAGTGTGTCACTCAAAATGCCCCCTGCACACTCCCATTGGGAACTAATGTTAATCTTTACTCAAGAAGAGTGAAGGTATGTTTTCAATTAAATTAGCATATAAATTTACCAGCTGGTTCCATGAACTTGAGAATCACATGCCCAGGTCCCTAAACTTGTAGAAATGAGTAAATTCAACTACCTAGGTAACTAGTAACTATATACTGCAATTTTGCTATTATTTACTGTTTGGCTTTGTGTAGGTCATATGAAAATAACGAATAACTGATGTTCTTTTGTTTAAATTAAGTTAACATAGATCCTTAAAACATACTCGCTTTGCATGAACTTTCTTTTCAAGAAGATCTCAAGCTTTAACTTAATTACCTACACAAAGCTATTTTAGTTTGAGCTTATCCCTACTCACAAGTATATGATTCTACTCATGTTTAAGGACTTAAATGTGCGGTAAATGTGCGGTTCCCAAGTTTAAGACCCAAGTGGTATAACTGCAGAACCATGGAAGTTCAGAGAAATGCCATTTATATATAAACAATTCAGAAGATGAGATTTCTACTACAGCCTACAGATGGATGATCATACTGTTGCATACCTATAACTCCTCCATAGTGCATGCCATCATATGGATCCTCACCAGTGAGAATTTCCCACATCACAACACCAAAAGAATAGACATCGACCTGTGTTACCATAAAGTTGGCGTATTTGAGAATACAAAACAGAAGAACATGTCAGGCCTAAGTATATTCTAGAAATATTACAATTTTTTTTGTCAGTGTGTGTTAAATTCTGCAAGAAAATTCTTTTTTTTCATGAATCAAATAGGAGGAATGCTCCAGTTCATGTTTAAAGTGAATTCTCATTAATCATTACTCCCTCTATATCACAAAAAAGTAACGTCTTGGGCATGCTTTCAGTCAAACTTTTAAAACTTTGTCTGCAAATATCATTTTAATTGTTATGTTTGAAAATTTTAACATCATATGTATAGATCTGTCTCAAAAAGCATTTCTGGAATATCATGTTTTTCAGTCTTGTACATATATTGGTACTATAAATTAGTGGTCAAAGTTATATCTCGAAGACCATGTCAATATCTAAAGTCACTTATTTGTGATATGAAGAGAGTATATCACTCCCGATGAGCATGTCAAATATCTTCAACTTTTATGCCACTTTGAAAAATGTTACATTCATATGACTGATAAGTATGTCGTATAACCTTTGTGCATGAATGTCAAGTGAAATTGTGAAACAAACACAATGCTATAATTTGTTTTCTTCGCAATTTGTAGCACCTTCACACTTCCAGGTCATTAAAAAGATTCATCATAATACCTTTTCAGATACTTTGGTGCCGCTCATTGTCAACAATTCTGGGGCCATCCATGGAAGAGTTCCTCTCATTCCACCAGAAACCATGGTGGCTTGTTTCATCTTTGATAAACCAAAATCAGCAACCTGCAGTCATTGTTTCTCTATTATGCCCTTCATTTATATGCAGAAGTCCATCATATGTATTTTATAAATGCATATCATTTTCTTCAACCATTCACATTTGAAACTCAAATACAAAAAAAAAATGCTATTGGAAAACTGGAGTTCTGGCATACCTTGCATATTGGACGAGAGGGATCCTTAACATTCACTAGCAAGTTATCACATTT